CTGAGCCGTATATCGCAGTTGTACATCACCTTAAATCCGAAAGAAGGCTTCCGGTATGCCAACACCGGCCTGCAGCTGGCACAAAAAATACAATGGAAAAGGGGTATGGCCAATCTTAATAATAATCTTGGATTAATGACGGGTGATACCGGGAACAATGCCGGCGCAAGAACCTGGTATGAGAAGAGTTTTGCCATTAACAAAGCGCTGGATTCAAGGCCGCACATGGTTACCAATATGAGTAATATTGGCCGCAGCTACCAGCGGGAATCAGATTTTACCAAAGCGTCTGAGTATTATTTTAAGGCATTGAATATTGCAGATGAATCAGGGCTTGCCGAGCAGGCGGCCCTTGTGGGTACCAATATCACAGCAATGTTTATTATTCAAAAGGATTATGCAAAAGCCACGCGCTATGCTGAAATGACAATTAAGAATGGTGAAGCTGCCCATGCTATGATACATGTAGCAAAAGCAACAGAACAACTGGGTGTTATTCAGCTTGAGCAAAAAGATACAGTGGCCGCCAGGACCAGTTTTGAAAAAGCATACAATCTGTATGAAAAAATCGGCAATAAGATGGCCAAGGTGCAGGTGCTTACCAATATGGCTACACTGGAAAGCAGTATGCAGAAAACGATTTCCATTTTACTGAAGGCACAGCAGATGATAGACAGCCTGGCACCCACGTCCCTTAATGCCATTGTTAACCTGGGTAACCTGGGTATCTATAACTATAACGCAGGGGTTGCTTCTACGGGCGATGAAAAGAGCCGTTTTTTTAAAGAGGCTACTGTTTACCTTAACAGGGCTATTGATCTCTGTAAAGCCACCGGCAATATCAATTATGAATCCAATTTCAGGCAATCGCTGGCAGAACTGGAAGAAGCCAAAGGAAACTATAAAAGTGCACTTGACAATTTCAGGGTATATGCTGCCATCAATGACTCTGTATACTCACAGGAAAACAAAAATAAAATAGCTTCGCTTGAAAGTGAGAAAGCCATTAATCTCAAAAACAAAGAAATTGAAATCAACAAACTGGCCATTGCCAATCAACGTAAGACGCAGGTTGGCCTGGTAGCCGGTATTCTGTTGCTGGGTGTTATCGGGATCCTGCTTTACTGGCAAAGCCGCACCCGGAAAAAAACAAATACTACTTTAATGGTGCTGAACAACCAGCTGGACGACGCCAATAAAGTAAAGGCCAGATTTTTTGCTATTCTCAGTCACGATCTGCGCGGGCCCGTGGCCAACCTCATCAGTTTTTTACACCTGCAAAAAGAAGCGCCCGGGCTGTTGAGCGGCGAACAGATAGCTACCAACCAGCAGAAAATTACCCATTCTGCAGAATCGCTGCTGGAAACCATGGAAGCCATGCTGCTCTGGAGCAAGGGACAGATGGAAAATTTTAAGCCGGAAATAAAGCTGGTACCGGTGCGTCAGCTGTTTAATTACGTGGAGAGGTTTTTTGCAGATACTGCGCAGGTGCAGTTGACCTTCAAAGATCCCGGTAACATGGAAGTAAATACAGATGAAAATTATCTGCAAACCATTATGCAAAACCTTACGGCCAATGCAATAAAGGCTTTAAAAAGTACCAGCGCCGGGCAAATTGAATGGAAGGCGGTACAGGAAGCCGGTAAGACCTACCTGTCTATTACAGACAATGGCCCCGGTATCAAAGAAGAGCATTCGAAAGCATTGTTCGACGAAGCCGCAGCTGCCAATACAAAATACGGTTTAGGCCTTCACCTGGTACGTGACCTGGCGAAAGCCATTCACTGCAAGATATCGGTTCAAACAGCTGAAGGTGCGGGAACTACTTTTACGTTGGCCGCTTAATTACTCCGTTGGCCATAGCGCAACTGCTCTCATTAGCATGCCGGCAAAAATACAGCATCCTGCACCCGGGCATGCACAGGATAGCCCGGGCCAGGATGCTGCACTGCTGCAGGTATTCAGCTGCCCACCCGCTGCTAATAATTGAAGGCAAAATTGCCTTTCACATTTACTTTGTTTTTAGTGATGGCATTGTCTACTGCCGTAATGGTAAAAACTGCTTCAATCCTTCTTTCTGCGGGTACAAAATGCTTCACAGTAATGGTGCCGGCAGGATTGCCGCCATTATTGCTGCTGCCTGAATAATAGGTGGTAGAGAGCGATGCGGAACGGTAAGAAAAAGTAACAAACGCTGCATCTGTTGCGGTTAGACTGGCGCCACTGGTTATTTTCGATATATCGAGCTGCAGTCCAAAATTATCCCCTGCTATAGTGGTAGCCGTAATAAACAGGTTGGGTGGATTGGTATATTTTGCCGTAAAAGAGGCAATGGCAGTGCTGCTGTTTTCTTTCTCCAGGTAAAAATTATGACCTGCCGGTAATTGTTCTACCACTGTTTTTTTGCAGGCGGTAAACAAAAGCAGTACAGCAAGGCCGATGGCAATCAGTTTTTGTTGCATATGGTTAATTTGAATGACGGATTTGTTGTACGGGTATAAACCTCACAGTATATTCAGCAAGCGCAAGCCCCAATGGCCAAACAGCCATTTAAAAGGACAGTTGCGGCAGGCGCTGATGGCAGGTGGCGGGTTTTGTATTACAGGTGCACTTGATAGGCAGTCATTATCTCCTGCAGTTTGTCGAACCGGTACCGGATATCGTATTTTTTTTCCAGGGCGGCAAAATCAGCAGGTTTTGGACTGCGCCGGTTTTCAAACAGGGTGGACAGTTCAAGCATATAAGCTTCATGTCCGCTCGGTAAAGACATGTCTATTGTTTTTGCCGGAACGCTTCCACTGTTCCAGAAAGTATGCACCAGGCCGCGGGGACGCAGGTGCCAACCCCCTGCTTTTACTTCAGTCACTTCATCATCCACCATTACATGTACGCTGCCTTCCAGTACCCGCAGCAATTCATCAAAACCCAGGTGCAGGTGGGGAGGGGCGCCCAGCTCTCCTGGTTGTATAACTGTTTCCCATAGCCCAAGGTGACTGCCTGTTTGTGATTTGTTGAGTTTAAAGCAGATGCTCATATCGCCTATTGTTGCCTGTTCGCCTTCACCGGGGGCAATATAAATGCCGCCGGGCACAGTTGTTGCCCCAGCTGCGTTTTGAGCCCAGCCTGTGACGGGCAAAAGTGTGCTTCCCAAAGTAATGGCGGTTAATTGCTGCATCAGCTGGCGGCGGTTGATTTGTTTTGTGGTAGTTGTCATGATAATTATTTGTTACCCAAAACTAGACAGCGTATTGGCGGCAACATAGTACAGAAGCGACATTTCAGGGTTGTCAAAGGCTTAGCGGCGGGCCAATTACTTTCAGATCATGTTCTTTGTGAATGCGGTCAATTTCCTGCTGACTGGGCGGGTGCGTAAGTTTGTTCATGGTACGGAAGAATTCCTCCATTTTGCCAGCTGGTTGTACAAAATACAATAGCTTGCCGGTGTCGGTTAGCTGTATCCAGGTATGCGGTATATTCCGCGGTAGGAAGATGGTGTCGCCGGGTTTCAGCAGTTTGGTTTCCCCGCCCACCACAAAACGGTATTCGCCATCTGCTACATAAAAAATTTCATCCTGGAAATAATGCAGGTGCAGGGCAGGACCTGTTTTTTCGTATCCAATGTATTCAAATACCGCCAGCTGGTTGCCGGTATCATCTTTTGAAATTTTAATATCATTGGGCGATTTCCCCTTGAATAAAAAAGACTCATTGAACCGTCCCTTGCCACCAGCTACCACAAATGGTTTTTTGGGAGCAGCGCCTGCTTCGCTTAATTGGGCAAATGCCATGGCGGGCAGTATGGACAGTGAGCCTGCAAGAAATTGTTTTCGTTTCATAAATGTGAATGTTTGAAACACAAAGCTATTGCGGGTGTTAATGGGTGTGGTAGTAGTAAATAGACGTTTTTAGCTGTTAGCTGTTAGCTGGTTTTGGGTTGTGCAAATTATGAAATACTGGTGCTATTTGCGATGCTGAAGCAGGCCCGGAGGAATGTTATTTGATTGGTTCAGCGATGCGCGGGCTGAAACCCCTGCAGACTGGTGCAAGGAACCGGCAAGTAGGAGGATAATCAAAAGGAACAACATGGCGCAATTTGTTGCAAAATCATCAGGTCTCGGCTTCTCCAAACAGTCTTTCCGGTGCGGTATTGTCTATCTTGAAAAATGCTTCCGGACTATGGCCTGTAAATTCTTTATAGGCTTTAGACAAATGTGGATAATCGTAGTAGCCGCAATGCAGCGCAATAGACAACCAGTCTTTTTCAGGGAAACGGTTCTTCATACGGAAAGCCTTATCGAAACGTATCAGTTTCATATATTCTTTTGGTCCAACACCGGTGCTGTCGTAAAATCTGCGGTCAAACTGGCGGTGGCTGAGGCAGGCTTCTTTTACAAACCAATCCAGTTTTTTGTCTTCCTGCTTCAGCATCATTTGAGCGATAGCATTCACCGGGTGGTTGTATTTCTTGATTTGCTTGAATTTACTGAACAGGTACTGCTCTATCAGACCAATCATTTCATCATATCCCTTTGCATGGTATAACTGCTCGTTCACCAGCTCAATTTCTTTGCCCAGTACATCTGCTGCATCTGAGAAACGATTGTGTAGCTCAGCGGCACCCATGCCCAGCCAGCGCTGCAGGGCACCGGGTTGAAAAATAACCTGGATAGAAAGAAAATCGTTTTCGGGCTGACGGTGGTTGATAATGGTATGCTGGCCGATAAGCGCCGCATGCCTGGTAATTATTTTTTCAGTGGAACCGCTGTAGGTGATTTCATTGCTGCCCGTGGGGAAAAACTGCAGGCATTGTTCCGGCCGGGGGGTATACGCCTTTGCCGGAATACGGATGTTTTTGGGGAATACAAAATGAATGACCCTGTAAAGTCTTACAAAGCCTGCCAGTTGAGGGCTGGGTATAATTTCATTCAGTAACAAATGGCTATCCTGGGTTTTCGATGAATCAGGTAATCAAATATGAGGTTTCTTTTCCTGAGCTGGTAGTACAAAACAGACATTCTATATCCGGTGATTGGCCTGCAGGCGCAGTGGTGCGGCCAGCATTTCGCCGTGCATCAGCGTGGGCGTGGTACCCGCGAATTCTTTAAAATCCCTAATCAAATGCATCTGGTCAAAATAGCCGCATTCGTAGGCAATGGCTGTCCAGTTTATCTGCGTCTGGCTTTCTTTAAGCCGGTAGGCTTTTGAAAAGCGGGTGAGGCGGGCGAAAAGTTTAGGTGGAAGGCCAATACGGTCTTTACAGGTTCTTTCAAATTGCCGGAGGCTGAGGCATGACATGGCTGCTATTTTTTCGATGGGCATATTCCCGTTGGTTTTAACCAGTTCCTGCATGGCTTTATCAAAAGGACGCAATCCTTTTGTGCGCGGTATTTTATTCAGCAGGAAATTTTCAATTATTGTCTTTGCCGCCACCGCAGTGCTGGATGCTTTCAATTGTTCATTGATTTCAGGAATCCCGTTGCCCAGCAGGAGGCTGCTGTCAACATCTACATCCACCAACCGGTGCATAGGTATGCCCAGCAGACGGTGTAGTCCGCCAGGTTGAAAAGCTACGCAGAGCATTTTGTGGTTACACCCCAAGTCCAGGTTTACCCGTGTTAGCTGTGGTCCAACTATAATGCTGGGCGCTTTGGTAACAAAGTCTTCCTGGCCGGCTTTCTGCGTTTGTACGGGGTCGTTAATATAAAAGTAAATACAATGTTGGGGGGTAGGAGGGAAGGGACAGACATTAGCACCTTCCATCCTGGCTTCAAAAACCATAAAGTAGCTCACCAGTTGCTGCAGTGCCGGGTGCGGTACGTAAAATTGAATTTTCAATTGATGCCTGTTTCCATAAATATAAACTATTTTCCAGTTTTGTAAAACCGTACATAAGTGTGCGTCTATTTCCGCGAAGCTCCACAACCGTTTTCATAAATGGTCCAGTAGCAACCTGCGGCTGTTTTTTGGGAAAATAAATGTGCTGCAGGTTGCTCTTATTTTTTGCCCCAGCCGGCAGGCCACTGACAAAACCTGTTCAGGCTGTAAGGTCCTCTTGGATTGAACTTGATATAATACACAGGCGGATAACTGAGATAGAGCGCCGTGGCTTCTGATTCATCTACCACAAAGTAACGCCAGTTGGTCCAGTCGAAGTAGAAAAATTTTGTGAAGTAACGGATATGTGTAACGGGATCTTCTATATCACATTTCACGGTTTGGTCTATGTTTTTCCAGTCAATGCTGCCTGCCCCGGTAAATAAAGAATCAAATGGCTTGGCTGGAACGCCGGATGCGTTGCTGGTGTACATACCATCTTTGAAGTAATAGATAATATCGCGGTAGGTTGCCTGGTAATCTTTATAAGTGGGGCCGGGTTTGTATTGTTCCGGCAAGCTGTTATTGCCAAAAGGTTTTTTGCCTGCCATAGCGCCTGCATATTCCGGGTCGTTCAGTTTTCGGTAAACATTGGTGCTGGTAGTCATGGGGCCGTATTGCCAGGGATTTCCGTAGAGAGAAACCACGCTGTTTTTGGCATCGGTAATAATGTTAAGGGTTTTGCCAAAGGCAGCTGTTTTTACTGCTGTTGGCCAGCCTGTAGCCAGCTTGTCTATGGACTGCGGCGCCTGGATTACCTGTGCGCTGTCTGCGTAGCCGGTGCCGGATTTCAGCAGCGAAACAATAAAATATTGCTTGTCACTGTTGTTGTCGTGGTTCAAATCGAAAATAACGAACTGGCCATTCAGCATAGTTGCCGAAGGCTGGTGCTCACAGATAAAATTGGGCGTGTTGCCGTTAGCTGTAGCCGCTGGTACCGGAACAGGTGTTGTTTTTTTGCACGAAATGGC